GAGCCAAATCAATCCATGATATAGCTTGTTCCAGGATGGCTGTAGCTCAGTAAGCATCCTTCTCAGTCAGTGTCTCAGCTGCTGATCTTCTCTTTGCCTTTCTCAATGACAGGGTTTTAATCCCCAAGCACTATGACAGGGTGAACTGTGTTGGCCTATTCCACAAGAAAAGCTGTTCCATCCGAGTGGTGAAGAAGACTAATCCTGACATAAGTTGCAAAGTCTACAATGGAATTGGTTAAGACCATGTGATGTTATTTCTCCTCTTTCACACCTCCCCTGAAAGTTGAATGCTCTGGATCTCTCCTTTAGAGGAAAGCAGCAAGCAGCATGGTTTCAGGAGCAATGAGTTTGTCTCATGCCTTTCACAGCTCTAATTGTGCCATATCTATCTCATTTCTGACACTAGGTGGTTTGTCCTAAACATATTTGTAACCAAGCTTTACCACAGATAACTTCGTGGCTTTTTTCCCATTGGGATCTAGAGTTAAATAAATGTTCACATACATCAAATCACTGCTTTTCTTTCTAAGTAGTCACTGATTGTTCTTGTTGAAAACAGAAGTATTCATGGTGTGTATAAATGTTTGTAAATCTAATTACTGATTTGGAAATTATCTAGCTTTTAAACTAACAGGTATTATATAAATCCTGTGGCCAGGCAAATGGATTCATTATGTTATTACAATTATCTCCCCAAGGACATGTATACTAGAAGAATGGGATGAAAGAAAACAGCCCCTTGAAAGCCTCCCCCCACCTTGGTGCCTTACGTAGGTCAATCAATCCATTAGTGCAGATGCACAAGGGAACATATTCTCCAGGAGATGACTGGTATATTACAAAAAAAGGCAATCCCGTACCTGAGAGTCCAACCTACTGCAAAGAAATGCCATATAAATAGCTCTGTAGCCTTCCATACTGATGTAGAATTTCCTGCAATAATCTTGTTGGTTCAAAGTGCACTGACAAACAACCCTATGAAAGTTGTTTATATAGAAAACCTACACTGTAAATCATGTTTAGCCTGTAGACTTCAGGCACTACACTGTGCCTAGTACAAAGTCCATGAATGTACTTAATATGAGAAATATCCTATAAAACCTATTTAGACAATATTAAGAGCAATTATAAAAAGAGCACTGGACAACTTAAAAGGCTCAGTTAAATAATTTGGGTGTGTTCAGTTTATTCAACACTGACATCATTGCTTTTTTCTTCATCTGCCTTGCCTCTACATTACTGAAGTGTATAACAATTAAATATTTCATATGACTGAAACAACAACTTCTTTCAATATCTATTGTGGAAAACCACAATCACATTTTCAAAACCATCATCTATTTTCAAGTGTGATGCTGAGAGCATCCAGGTAGAAAACCTGCACATAATTAGGAAAACAGCTTACCGATTACTAGAGGAAAACTCATCCATGGCAATCAATAAGGTGATTCTAGGAAGCAAGTAAAATGAGAAATACAATTGTAGATTCTTAATTCTTTGGGCTTCAGGGTTGGTTAGAACTGGCTAGTAGCAGCTCTCTTTGATGATATCCCCCTGTGCCTTCTTGGGCATAATGGAGTGGACATCACTGCATCTGGCCACGGCCCCTCCAGCCTGTGAGGAACAGACACTGGAGGAGCCCTCACTTCTCTCGTTTTGGAGGGTGGATCAGAGGATTTCACCCAGTTATATATGTGTATATATATATATGTATATGTATATATATGGTGGTAGATGTAGCTATAGATATATATAGAAGGGATTATCCTATCAGCTTCCTAAATGCTAGATGTATTTATAAGGCCCTGTCTAGGGGGCTCTGAGTAACAGGCCTACTTTTCCAAAAGCCTGAACATCATTTAAGCAGTTCAGAAAAATTACTGGGAAGGCACATCACTTTCATAGCTACCCCATGGAATAAAGGTTAGGAACAAATTGAGGATGGATGATAATGATTAAAATATTCTGCTTCAGAAAGAGGTAGAGATTCTGACAAAATAAAGCCAAACCAAACTTACACAAAATACCTACAAGGATGCCATGTAGCCCTGATAAGCTTAGCATATACACAGACTGTGTACTGTTCCATGGTACATTTTCTCCACATGCTTTTGTCATCAAGTACCTAGTACTATTCATTGTGGATACTGTTTGCTCACTGTTAAATAGTGCCAGAGAGAGCAGGACTCCAGATGCTGGAATACAATTAGATTTGCTAAATGTACTGTAGGAGAATTGGCCTCTGAGATTTCACGCTCAGGGGAAAGAAAGAGTATCAGGGCTCCACCAGTGAAGACTGATATGGCTGAAGATCCGACACAAGAGTACCTGAGGAGACCCTCAAAGCATCCAGAGGGCAGCTGTAATCCCCCTGTTGTGATAATGCTGTCCCCATAACCACTTGCAGGAAGAAGTTATTTGGCCAGAACAGAGAGGACTATTTCCTCATGTACCCCCTTGAAATACATTGTCTCCTGGGAGTCCAACTGTCTTTTGTAACTAACTGCAGAGAAAGCAGAACAGTTCCCCAGGGCCTCCTCATAACAGGAGCACATGCTGTGGATAGACAATGGGAGCAAAGCTTCTTATCACCCTGTGGGAAGTAGGACAGCTCCATGCCATGCCAGCTACAGTTTTTTACTCCATTCCCTATCAACAGCAAACCGGGACTGGTCCGTTGACAGCACATGACTATCAGTAGTTGGGACTACAGTACTTCCACACTGCTTCCCAGCAGTAAGTGTCCTGCATATAGAGGAATTTTCATTCTTATGCACCCTCATACAAATACTTTTTTGTGCACTTTGCAAGTCTTAATGGGTTGGAATCCTCACAGAGACTCTCTACAAATACATGTTCAGTAGTTCCCATTGGAAAGTGAAACATGGCCAGATTCAAAACAGGCAGGTTGAGTACCACCACCATTTTAGCAAGGTGCTGAACCAAGACTAAAAGACCCACTCGAGGAAATTTGCATCTGCATCTTTGTCTTGCTGCTGCTGTCCTCACTCCAAGCTAGCTCTGGTATGTTGCTCCCACACTGGTTTATTAATAGCGAGCATTTTCACCCTGCAGTTTGGATATGATGAGGAAAGAATATGTGTGTAATAGGACTCTACTGCAGCCCCATTCACCTCATCAAAAATGGTCAGAACCTTGCTACAGCAATTCATTCACCCTAAAAATCTGTCACGAAGAAAGTCCCAGATGCCATAGCAAGATATTGGTGGCTAGGTCATTTTCTGATCCCTGAGTGGCAGAGTCCTGAACAGTGTTTTAAGACCCAGTGATACAGTTGTTCTCCCCTGACTTTAAGAAGAGAGCAGATGCTAATTTGCTAGTTTGCAGACTCTGCCCAAATGTCTGCATTGAGAGAATAAAAGTGGCACAATATATCTTTAAATGTCTGGAAGGTGTGGAGATAAGGCTGGCTAAGGAATGCTACAAGCTGAGGGGGACAGAAAAACAGCTTCACAAATCAAAATATCCCTCAGGAAAAGGACTGTCTGTTTCCTAATGGTTTTCCTCCCCTTTCTTTAATGCTTTGAACAGCAGAACAAATAAACATACGATAAATAAATTAAGGAAGAAACAGAAGTGAACAGGCCAGCCAGATAAATATTTTCAGCTTCTCTGGCTCCAGTAAGATAGGAAAAATCCTCTACTTCCTATGAAGCTGGTCAGAGGCTCAAGATCTGCGTGGGCTGATGCCTTCTCAGCCAGAGCACAGGCTTCATGTCCCTTTCCCTAACCAGACCGGAAAGCTCGTCTCCTTCTAAAGTGTCTGGGTAAAGGGGAAATATTGGGTTGTGGGGTGCTGGTTCAAACTAGTTGGTAAATAAAGCTTCTGAAAGGAGGCTGTGAAAAAATAAGTCACTCAAACCAAGAAGCAGCTCAAGCATCCCCTGAAGAAAAATCAGTAACTGAGGACAACTCTCCGGCTTACACTATTCATTATGCAGATTCCAGTTTTATGCTTCTCAGCATCATAAGTCATGAGAAATGCCAAAATACCCTCTATTTCTACTTCTGCTTGTTTATTTCTTTAATCATAAAAGATGTCCGCTAAGCTCTTGAAGTAGATGATCAGGTCCATAGTAGCTGCTATCAGAAAAAATGAAAGAAAGAATATGGTACAAATGAAAAATTGTTTTCACGGTTAGTTTAGTTGCTAAGTGCTTGCACTTGTTTTTATATTGCAATGTTTGACTTCTGTTGACATACTACACACCTACAAATGAAAACACCTATTTGCAATAACTACTTATCACAACTTCAGAAGGGCTCCAGAATAGCATAAGCCACTGGACTAATTAGGTAGCTGACCATAGCTTAAAATCCTCTTTAACTAAGGACCAAAATTAGGTTATTATGATATAGCCCTTGGAAATACACTGTTTGTGTATTTTCCCAATGCAAGAGAAAGATTTGCAACTCTTGACTTCTGCCTTGGTTTTTCATGAGAAAGACCTGGGAGAAAAAAAAAAAATCAAAGGAAATGGGCACTTTTTCAAATCCCTTTTTTCCTGTTTCCAGCTCTCTCAGAGGTCATACATTTCTGAGTTCTTTGCCTGAGTTACACTGTGCCTCTTCACCTTTTACAATCTAAGGACTTGTAGCCTGCACTCTTCTAAAAAAATGTCTGTAATGGAATGGAAAAACTGAGAAAACTGACACTGGCAACCTTTTCATAAGTATGAGGCAAAATTCTCTTTGATCCCTACAGAAATCTTGCCTCATCAAGGAGAACAGGATTAGTTGTCTCTTTGCTTTCACTTGAGATCCCACTCACGTGCAGCACGGGTGCACACTGAGCTTCAGATACTTCATAGCTCTTTTCTGAAGTTGCTATTCCTCCCAAGTATCCCTAGAATTTGTATATTTATATAACAGCAGAGGGAGCCAGAACTTCAAAGTCAGACCATAACCATAAAGCAGAATTCATTGGCTAAATTGAAGGGAGGGAAGGAAAGAGGGCGGGAGAGAGAGGAGGAGAGGGAGAGACATGCCATCCAAATTACCTACAGAAACAGCAAGGAGAGCTTCTCTGCTGGACTGCTAGGGCACAGAAGATCTTACTTCACTGCTTCAACATTCCTTCTTTCTTCCAAAATAGAAATGTGCATCAACTGCAGTGATTCTCTCCATCAGTAACAGGTAAGAATTTTCTAAATTATCTATTTCAGATTGTCAAGACCTCAGAGCTCTTTATTGAAGTTATTACCTGTGAGTGTTAAAAAAGCAGGTGACTATGTTTGATAAATGAATACAGTCTGACTTTATAAGGCCTAACCCTTGTATCTACTGAGCAGAGCTTTGCAACCTTTCAGGGTGCAAGAGGGAGATGGCAGGTTCTTGGGAGATCTGTAGGGTTCAGCTGTGCTCCCTGCCACCCTGAAGTGTGACAGAAAGCCTTTCTTGTTCCCACTGGTCACTGGAAAACACTTCTTATCTCCTAGTCCCTGAGATTTCTTATTCCTCACCCAGCCCATGCAGCTTCTGATAGTACACATCGCATTACTCTCCAGATATCCTCACTGGCTGTCTGCTAAGGTGCCTGTTGCAATGTTTTATGGACTCACAGCTTCCTTTGGTAAAGATCATCATTGCAAAAATAAAATTTTTTTCTCTTGGATAGAGACCTTGTTACAATGGCCTTTACTCTTAAGAAATCAGGGACTAACTGCCATTCTCCAGTCTGCTGACCTGCTACTCACATTTTGCCTTTGTGAGCTGGCTCCAAATCTTTGGTTAGGTTGTTATAAATTTAACCAGAAAATAAAAAGTTGGAGTAGATGCTTTTGCAAACTTCCCTACTTTCTACATGATCAGAGAAGGTTAACTCAGAACTTCATAACCTCTAAAGGTTTTCCATCTGAAAACATGCAGATATGAGAGGATGAAAAAGTACTTACTTTCCTGGGTATTTATACCATCTCCCAATTTTATAGACTTGTAACAGATTAATATACACAAGTTGTTCTATACCCTAATTATGCATATTTTAGAAATTTTTATCATATATGGCTTTTTCAATGACCTAAGACAGTTGTTCCCAATAATTTTGCAACACGGAGTTAAAAAAATGGTGAAGAGTACACCATTAATTTTAATTGTATCAAATCCCTTATGGATTTAATATTGCTGTGGGATGTCTGTGCATACTCAGTGGCATGTTTCCTCTTCTAGTTGTGTTGCCTTCCTGGAAAGCTGTAAGAACAGCCAAATGATTTTTAGCCTTTCTTTAGTATGTAAGGCTAGACAGGGCAAATCTATTTTACTGAGATAATGTGGCTGCCAGCCAAAAGAGGACACCACTGTCAGTCAGTCAGTCCTCACCACCTCAATTAATATCTGCAATATGAATTCCAGCATTCTGCTAAAGTTTTCCACTGCTCCTTTGTTACTAGTTTATAAAAGGAAGACAATAGCTGCTTTACTCCAGATAACTGCTGTAACTCTTTAAATAAATAGTACTATCACAGGATGTCTTTAGGAATTGCTTCTCTCAGAAACTCTTATGGACTGAAAGCAGCAGTTGTTTGAGCAACTACTTTAATTCTGAGTTAGATAAGCAAATGCTTCTAAGTACCAGATAATGAAGCCAAACACTGCAAACCCTTTTTTTCCCTTTGATTTATGTCTGATGTGGAAATTGATTTCCACTGTCCATCACAACTATGGAGACTGTTATTTGATGGCAGGGAATAGATGATCACGATCCACTTTGCAAGAATGACCCACCCTTTCCCACTGGGCACATAGATCATAGCATCCATAGCAGCCCCCTGCTTTGTCCTGCCTCCAGGAAAACAGTTTTTATAGAGGTTTTCGTAGGATGTCTTCAAGTCCAGAGGTCTCTCAAAAGGGCAGTCATGCATTAACTGCTTGAAGCCACTTATGGTCTAGCAGTCTCCTTCAAACCCACTGAAGGTTTTATTTTCTTCCCTGACCCATCTCTGCAGAATTCCCTTTTCTTTGAGGAATTCTTATGGGAAATACAGGATAATGCCCTGAGGCAAGGCTTTCAAGCTGACTAGTGATAGTTTGGTTTCTTTTTTTGAGACAACCTGAGTGACATTTGTTAGTTCAGAAGGCTGTGTCATTCAGCAAGACAAACCCTTCAAACCTTGCCTGCTCTTCTTCCTTTCTTCCAACACAAAGAGCAGAATGATGAACATCTATAAAAGATGTACTTCTGGAATTTAAATTACACTAAATCTGAAAGCTTCTTCTCTACTTCCTTCTATAGCCTGTTGATTTGATGTAGACTTTTGAGACACTTGCTTTTCAGAGAAACTATCTCATGCTGCATCAACTAGAGAAGAAACTCCTTGCTTTTGACCATGTTAGCTTTTTGTTTCTTGAAGTTCATTAAGGGTTCTGAAAAGGATTCCTCTTTCTTCTTTAAAAACAAACAAGCAAACAGCAAAAAATACTTTTTCCCTTAATCTCTCAGCGAATTGATTTAGGAGACATACTTCTTGCTTCTACAAGCCAAGCAAGTATTGCTTCACTTTCAAGAGACAAAAGCTGTTTTTTTTCTTAGCCAATAACATTATTGCTATGTTTTGTGGGGTAATCAACAAACCTTCAATATAGTGAGGGGATTAACACCCTTGTTCCCACTGCACTGGTGATTCGGTATATTAGCTAACATTTGATTCAAATGTCTAAACAGAATATGTACACATTGCTTATTGCTGGCTCTTGGTTCAGACTAAACTGAATGGCAATCAAACACCTTGGAAGTCAAACACAGCACTTGGCAGTGACTATTCTTGAGGATCTGCCATCCAAGGATACCATAATAGGATGCATAAGTATAAAGTCACTGCGTTATTTATTTTTCTATTTTTTCTAGAACTGTTTTTCCTATTATGGTTGCTGGAATAAGAGTTTAAGAGAATTACAGACCTAAGTGATCTAGGCACTGACTGTTCCCAAGACATCTGGTTGGCATAGTGTACCACAGGTTCCCCTGAAACACTGGACAACTCACGTCTCAGATCCCTTACCTGTGTTAAGAGGGTGATAATTCCTTATTTACCTCTGGGCAGTACCATAAGAATGAATTCCCAGGAGGTGCCTGACGGTCACTTCGTGGGGACACTATGGAATGCAAGATGTTAAAAGAGAGGGAGCTTCTAACCCAACAATACACATTGCAGAGCCTTCAGAGATGCTCTTTATCCCCACCACATTTGCCATCTGTATGAAATGCACAGCCATGCTCAGTCTGTGGCATACCTCTTGGAAATGTGCCCCTTAAACCTGTGGGATCTGGCTTTTGTTTTCCAGGTGGCTCCACTGCTTTTTTTTTTTTTTTTGCTTCAGCATTATTAGTTCTCTTCACTGACACCTCAGCACATCCAGAAGTGTCTGGGACCCTTGAGAGGGCTTACTCTGTGGGACACAGATGTTTGTAATAACTCTGCAAATATTTCTTAAGCAACAAAAGAGAACCATGTGTTTGTTGTTGAGGATACTGTAGCTAAGGACACGATGCTGGGACTGTAGTAAAAAGCTCATGTGTTTTGTTTACAGCAGAATCTATTTGTCCTGTCCAAATGCCAAGACTTATCTCTTTTGACTGGTACCAAATAATATTGCAGGCTGCTGATCCCTTTGCTCTGTTTCATTTGCAGCATCGTCACTGGCCAGCAATCATTAAAAACTACGGGGTTGGTTGGTGGTTTTTCATTCTATATCCCTTTCCACACTAAAACAGACCACCATACCCTCCCCCTATGTGAACATGCAATCCAGCCATCATTGCCTCTTCTTTTTGTTCCAGAAAATGAATCAATCTGTTCACATGGATTGGGCAACAACACAAAAGTGAGTGGACAGAAGGAGTCATACCTATATCCACAATTTGGAAAATTTCCTTTGCCCTCTTTAATTAAGATTTAAACTACTGAGGAAATGAAAGATTATGAGAAAGAATGGACTACTGTATTTTGCTTGTGTGACTGTCTTCACTGTTTTGGATGGATACAGATAGATGACAGAAATACAGATAGATACAGTTAGATAAATCAAAGTAGCAAAATAGCAAAATCAATGCTAACAAAGTAACAAAAGAATTTACTGTACTCACTTATTTTTGCTGATCAAGCAGAATGATGATCCCAAACCTTCTTTTTATTTACTGCACACTATTGCTTTCTTTAGTTCCTGAGAGGCAACATCTCTAGAAACATACAGTAAAATTCATAACGAGAAAGACAAGGCAAAGAAAAAATTGTAGGAAAGCAGGTGTTTTTTTGTACAGTACTGGTTATCTTTAGGCACACAGTTGTTCATCAGTAAATGCTACTCAAACTGATAGGCTCACTATACCATTTTATTTACATATTCATACCTTGATCAGTTGGTTTTTTCTAAAGCTCAGAAGCTTTTCACAACCACTAAAACTTGTTTGAGTGACATTTTATCACTGAGGAAAGGGTCACATAGTGGTTAAGTAGTGTTGTTCCCTGAGTATTTATTTACTTTTCATACTACAAGCCTTTGCACAGCATGAAACTGCCTCTGGCCTGATGAGAATTCCCAGCAGAGTCAGATTTTTTCCTTTGATTCCTTGACATAGAGGATTTGGACTCCAGGATTGGGTTCATATAGTAGCCTTCGCTATGGCTCACAGGAGTCATCTGGGAGACTCCAGGCAGTCCTATGACTGAGATTTCCAAAAGTGTGCAGCACAGATTAATTCCATGGTTTCAGCTCCCTGACACCCCATTGAAAATCCCAGCTTGTGGTGATTAAGAAGCAGACCTATTTGTCCGTGCAGGAACAGTATCTAGGAGACAGCACATACTATTGAAACACTTGAAGTTTTTTGGGTGAAGAAAGCAAAATGATACTGAGGGAGAATCAATATAAAGCTTCTCAGAAGGGATTAACAGACATTATAAAAATCACTCACTCTTAAAGCCAAAATCAGGAGACTGGACTTTATTTCTGATAAACCCTGTCATGGCCGCCTTAGGGGAGACATCAAAGCTTTAAGGGCACTGGGGTTCATCCAGAATGGGGAAGGAAGATATTTGGACTGCAGTTCCCATGACCTATCACAACTGTGTAGAAGCTGAAATATGTTGAAATTATTTTGAATTATTTTAGACTTTTGAAAAATTGTCCCATGATATCCCTCCTGAGAATGAGCCTGAATTTTTGCATGGTGATTGTTCTGCCCAAATGCAAGCTCTGGCTACAGTCACAATTGCATTTCACAGATTAACTCACATAAGATATTTTAGTGTTGGCTTTATGCATCTAATATGACTTACTTTTCACATTGATGTTTAAAGCTCAGCTGAAGGTAAATGAAGCCCCACAATGCCCACTGCCCAGTTTTGGATCAGAACCTTGCAAAAACAGAAGTGCACACAATTTTTACCTCCAGGTGGGTTTTGATCCAGTTTTCTTAGATCACCACTCTACTGCATTAGTGATGTTCAAGATACTGCACTGAGTTAAATAATGAAGTTAAGATGTTCTTAAATCCATGGGACAACCTCAAAACGAATAAACACGGTCATAATTCAATAGAGTTGCACAGACTTTCATACCACAGTTTAGCAAAGGGCTCCATTTTATGATCTAATAAACTACATACAAGGGAGCTGCAGAATATACACAGAATCTCTGGCATTTGCTTCCCTGTCTCCCTCCTTGCCCTTTTGTCTAATTTCTTGAAGCATAACAAAACATATTTTTTCCTTTCCTTTGCAGATACACCCAGATCTTCCACAGCCAGACAGAACAGATAAAGCCCATTTTAGGCTGGCTCCAGAAGACCTAAACTGTGTTCGACTACCATCCTTTGTGATAAATATTTTGGAATTCAGAATGAATAAGACAAGGGCTGCTAACGATGGTTTTTATTTCCTGAACAGCAAGAACTGGAACTCAAACCGAAGCTTTCCCATGAACATTTCTAATCAGTGCATGAACATCACCGACCTTACTGTCTTCCTGGCCACCTCTTACAGCTTGGAGACTGTCCTAGGGATTGTGGGAAACATCTGTCTGATCGCCGTCATTGCCAGGCAGAAGGAAAAGGCCAATGTCACCAACATCCTAATTTCCAATTTAATAATTTCAGACTTGTTTATGTGTCTCGTCTGCCTCCCTTTCACCATTGTTTACACCATGATGGACTACTGGATATTTGGAGAAGTCATGTGCAAAATGACCTCTTTTACTCAGTGCACAACTGTGACAGTGTCAATTCTTTCCCTTGTCCTTATTGCTCTGGAAAGACACCAGCTCATCATAAACCCAACTGGTTGGAGGCCAAATACCTCCCAAGCCTATCTAGGAATTGGAGTAATTTGGATTTTAGCATGTCTCATGTCCCTACCCTTTTTGACCACATCCATCTTGTCTACTGACTTGTATGAGCAGCTCTCACACTTCATGAATTTTTCCACTGATAAGGCCATATGCATCAACTCGTGGCCTTCTGAGCAACACAAACTTATCTACACCACCACTCTACTGCTCTTGCAATATTGCATCCCGCTGTTCTTCATTATACTTTGCTACCTGCGTATCTACTTACGTCTACAGAAGAGAAAGGACATGTTTGAGAAGAGTGAATACAGCAACCGAGCAGTTCAGCTGAGAAGGATAAACATTTTGTTAGCATCCATGGTGGCTGCTTTTGCTCTTTGCTGGCTACCACTGCATATTTTCAACACCATTGTAGACTGGAATTACAGAATCATTTCACCTTGCCACCACAACCTGATCTTCTCATTATGCCACCTGGTAGCTATGGCTTCCACCTGTGTCAACCCTGTAATCTACGGTTTCCTAAATAGCAACTTCAAAAAAGAAGTGAAGTCACTGATTCTGAGCTGCCAGCATAATTCAGTAACTGCATCAATGGAAGAATATGATCATTTGCCTTTATCCACTATGCAGACTGAAATTTCCAAGGGCTCACTGATGTTGAACTGCAGACATAATTCTATCTGACTAGGAGAAAATATTTCAGAAGGGTTCACTGACACCACACACCAATTATTACCTGTGAGTATATAAAGTAACAGGTGATGCCGTAGCTGGAAGGTGAACAGGATATCATTACCACCTGATTTTTGGAAGAATAGGCAAAGGAAGGTCATAAATGTTAACAGCTGCTGCTATGGTACACGAGTTTTTCATGTCATAGAGATGATATGGACACTGAGGAGACTGTGCTGATGTATATGCAACTGCTCTAAGATCAGTAACTGAGCTGTGGCTGCATATAGGCTGACATGGGCCTCATCAGCTAAACTCACATCTCTGCCATGGCTGCAATAGAGAACCAGATTTCCAGTTCCAGCACTGCAGGCTGCCAAAAGTTGTGTTAGAGAAGACTCTCTCAGTTTTTCAGTATTTTTCAGAATTTTATGCACAGGTGACACACCAGTGGAACACAGATGTGTAAATATCTAAAATTTTTTACTTTACCAACTCTCACAGCCCACTAAGTAACAGTAATCTTTCAGCAGATCTAGTTCACATGAAACGACTGGATGTTTCTATCGAACCTCTCTCTATGGCTTGGGAACAGCCATTGCCTCTGCAAGTAGGAACACAGAACAATGACCCTCGTACGTAAAGAAGACAGTCACTTAGGAGGGATGGCAGCAAATGAAAATGTTATTCAATGGATTAAACTCTTAAAATGCATTAAAATGATACTGAGAACTGTTTTTAAGCACACAGAAAACAGTTCTAAATCTACATGGAAATAAGTCTGGTTGAATTTGCAATTCCAGCTGCTGTCAGTCACAAAGGTCTGCAATGCTAAAACTGCATTCTGTGATGGTACAAGGTGGCTGGATTACTGGAGTTATTGCAGGTCTTGGTAGCAAGATGTCATTCTGCTTCAGCATCTCCTTGGTACTTTAATTGCAAAGTATCTCATTCAGAAGGTCAGAACAGGCACTAAAACCTGTTTGTGGAAACCATGTCTTTCCAGAGTGGGTACACTCCTAAAGAAATAAGCATATGCATGGAGGATTTCAGTTTTCTGAAAAAATAAAACCAGATGTCAGATATCAGTCCCATCTGCTGGCATCAGCAATACAGGTGGACCTGAAATTCCAACCAATCAGTAGAAGGTCAATGAAAATACACAAGTGGAATCCAGGTCAGGCTGAAGCCAAGCTACATGTAAATAAGTAGTACTGTCAGTTGCTCTACTAAAATGAGAGTAATTTTTTTTCACATCTGTGGTATTTTTAGTCAAGAAACCTACAAACTGTAAACTCATTTTAACCTCTGGAGCCAGAGAAATTGCTCAGTGACTACTGAGAAACCAAGGTATGCCCAAGAAGGCCATATCATGGAATAGATTACAAAAAAAAAAAAGGTAGCGAGTGCAAAAAGAAGACCAACCAGTTCAATGCTAAAGAAATATTGAAGCATATTCCATTCTGAATTTTAATCTAACCTTAGCAGAAGACTGGCCTAGGTGGTCACCTTAGGTAATTTCCAACATGAATTATGCTATGATAAGCAGTTGTTATTTGTTGTAGTCAATGGGTTTGCATTGAGTTGAAGATATTCAACGGACAGATATGCAAAAAGCTAAAAATTCCTTAGTTGGGAGCTATATGATTAGACAAATTGGTAAAAAGCTGGGTGAGGAAAAGAATTCTTCCCATACTGTGAACTGACAGGAATATGGATGTTGAACAGAATATCTGAAGACAAGAGCTAAGCCTTCTGCTATAATGTAGCAAGAACTATCAACAAGTATGAGATCATATGTGACAAGACATTTTTGCCTTTCAAATAGACTTCTGCTTTCTTTTTTTTATTTGTTACTTGCCACAATATAACGAGAAGTTGTTTCTCTTGATTAGTTTGTATGCAATGTGATTTCTAGACTGGACATTGAGTCTACTAGAAACACAGAACAAGAGGACTCTCATTTTATCTTGAAATTTGCTAGTGTAGCTGAAACCACCATGTGATGCTGAGTAGCACAAAATACAGTGGCTCCTCCTAATCAGCATGATTTATGTCAAAANCATCTTGAAATTTGCTAGTGTAGCTGAAACCACCATGTGATGCTGAGTAGCACAAAATACAGTGGCTCCTCCTAATCAGCATGATTTATGTCAAAACTGTGCCGTATTATTTGAGGGCTTAAATACTGCTTCAACTTCGTGGTTGTTTTGTATTTAAAACCAATTTATGTAATTGTGTAATTCTGCCTGTTTCCAGCATTTAACCAGCTAAGATGTGTGTCAAGCTATTGTAAGAATACTCTGCTAAACATGAACACAGAAGATTACCTGACATATGGTCTTAAGTATACAACTTTTCAGGCACCGGTGTCTTAAATGGAAACACAGTTAGTTACCCTTAGCATTTGTACTTGAACACATCTTTGTCACTAGTTCCAAGTGACAACTTCTGGTAAAGTATGTCAGAGACCTGCCTCTAGAGTTATGCATTGCCATTGTGCATCAGATCTGAGTTCCTACTGCAAAGGGTAAAAATATGAGCAAGATCTGATGCTCTGTTAACTGTAATTCATACAGACAGTTGTTTCCACGATCACAAGTAAATACGTAAAGCAAGTAGATCCAACTTTACAGTAACTCAGACAAACACAAACAGATGTATCATCCTCTTGTAATTAAGGATGTGTCAAGTTTGGAGTCAACTACTGTTTATTGCTAACTGACTTTTGACTGGATAAACTACAGGATTTAAACACTAAAAGCCATCAAACTGCACCCATACTTCAACTGCAAAAATGCAAATCCTCAGAACTCCCAACCAGCTGCAGTCTATCCATCTACTTACACACCATCCTCAGATACAATTTTTTTAGCCTCTAAAACTCCCTAGGTAACTAAATAAACTTTAAAGTAAACCGAGAAAAATAAATATATCCAAGCTCCAAAGGACTATATATCTATGCCATGTGATAGCCCTATCTTTATTTACACAGTAGGCATCCTGCTGGCACAAACAGATGTAACAGGAAAGGTGCCTGTATCACTTCTTCATTCTGTGTGTACATCAAGGCTTTCGTAGCTGTGCACAAATGCAGTAGAGGATTTTATGCTGTTAGTTTTTAGGAACTGCTGTAGAAACTTTTCCCTGTTCCCTTTGAAGGCAAATGCACAAGGCTGGATACAATTATGCCTATATGGTTGAAAAGAGCCATTTTTTTAATCACTTTGAGGCTTTATGCAACCAAGGGAGGCTAGGTTTCTTTGGTCACAGCAAAGAGAGGGTAACAGAACAGAAACAGCTTACATATATCTTATGCATTTATAAATAACAGATACTGATCATATCTAAGAAAGATTAAGCATTTTTGTGTTCATTGTACACAGTGATGTTTTTGGGTATACTCTTTAAAGTTCTGCTACTGAGTCACAAAAGTAAAGTCGGAGAAATATTCAGTTGTGCAAATCATGAATTCATACAATTATAAGACCTTACACTGCCTTTTTTTTAAAGCTTTTCACAATCTTGCCTCTTTTGACATGTTGTAAGACAGTAAGGTTTTCAGAGCAAGAGAACAACTTATTGCTGGGATATAAGTGGCACCCTATAGGGAGTCTAACAACAAATAAAATAATATTGTCTGTGTCAATTCTCTGTGCCTGCTTCCATAAAATGATAGAATACTCTTCATAGTATAGAATGCATTAGATTTAGTTCTCAACTAGTGTTTATCTAGTGTTTATCAAGAGAAAATGAGTTATATTATCTGGTAAGATTCATTGATATATGAAGGATTAATAGTTGGATACATTATTCCTAAGGACAGACCAACCAAGAAAGACAGGCAAGTATCAAAAGTTCAACACAGAACATTGGAATATTTTGATGGCAGGACTCAGATCATCTTCACAGACTTGTCAGATTGCACAGAAAATTGGTTCCTACTGTCCTGAACCCTGACCAGGACCCCAGCCAGAATGTAACTGAGACTGCTGGGATGAAAACTAATGTGGGACATTTGATTGAACTTCATAAAATGCTTTGACTGCGTTAAAAGAATTGGTAAATTTCTCTGACCTTGGTCACCCGCTCCAACACAAAATAAACCAAGGTACTAGAAATGACTACAGGTTGTGCTATAAGCAGGTTTTGTTTATTATATTTGCACACGCAATGGAAGAATGCAATAGCAGTACCTGCTACCTCCCATGAAATTGGGTGTTGTATGTCATAAATGTGATGTAACCATCAACAGTGGTTGGTGACAATGTTGTGACAACAGTCAGTCAGCATCTGCACCGTAGGTTTGCTATTTGCAAACACAGTGTATACACACATCTGAAGCATGACAGTTTATGAGAGACTGCTGTGAACTAAGACACCACACCCTAAGAACCACTTCAGAGTTTCTTTTGCTTTGACCCATTTGTCTTCTCACAAGATCACCTGGCATTTCTTTTTACAGGCCTGTCTCTTCAAGTTTCTTATTGATTAAACACTGGCCTGATTTTCAGAGCAGTACTAATTTCACTGGAAATAGTTGTTACTTAGCACCACTGGTAATTCGTGTTTACATTGTATGAACATCAAAATCCACATAGCTTTTATGACCTTCCCTCACTTTCTCAGTTTGATTTATAAAGTCACTTCTTTGAACTCAGGAAATCATAAGTAGAATACGCCTAAAATTTATACTTCTGTACCATTCCTTTCCTGCCACACAATGCTCATTAGGCCTTAGTCAGAATTGTTTTGCTGTCCTTCCAATAAATGCCTACATGAAGCCCAGCAGCAGCAGCACAGAGATTATATGATGGAAACCTGTGTTGAAATTGAACTCCATGATGTATATATTTTTTTTGCTTTTTAGAACTTTAATTGATGAGACCCCACCACCCCTTTATAAAAAATTCTCAGTTAAATAGTGCTGTTGTATTCATCACATACGATAGAAAGTACTTTGTTCAATAGAAACTATAAAACAGATTACCAGCCATAAATCTAAAAAAAAAAAAAATTAGTCATGGTACACAGAAAATGATGACATAATATGAATAAGTACTTTTAGTGGAATATCACAAGATGCAACCTCTGACAGTAGACAGATTTTGTAAGTCAAAAGATATGATGACAGATGTGGCATAGGAAGGCATGGACTCCAAGTGGAATAATGAGATCATTATTCCTAGAGACAAAAAACACAAAACTTACACTAGGACTAGGTTTTGTTCTTTAAATCCCTGATAAAACTTCCTGTCCTTTGAATACAGTAACTTCAGTTCATGAATTACTGTGTCTCTTATTCAGTCCATGGGAATATGAAGTCTCCCTGTTGGTATCTAGTGGGCAAATAATACTTCATCATTCATAACTATTTGATTCCATTGTCTGATACCATGCCTTTAATAAGGTAATGAGCATCGAGTCAACTAGCTGATAGGCTGACCTAATGACTAAAAGTAATTACATGTAACATGTATTTATTTAAATTAAAAAATAGAATGTAGAAAATTCCTCATGTCCTAAAGACCAACATAACCACTTTCTGAAACACACTGCATTAACAGCAGAAAGCTGAAAAATATAGAAAACTTATGGTCTCCTCAGCATGTACATTAAAGTCAAAGAAATTTACACAGTTAAGCAGAGAGTTTTGTTTAAACTAATGGCAAATAAACAGACTGTTCCTGGAGCATAACGTACACATACCCACCCCCCCCAGACCCGTGTTTTGAGAAGGCTTCCAGGCTGCAAAAATAGCAGATACTGGCTGGCACTGTGGTAAAGGTTTTTAAAGCTGATGAAATCAACACCACTAGTTCCATTTAAAATTCAGTGTGTACTGAAATCCATCAGAAATACAACCATACTGTCACAAATTGCACAATGTCCTTTCATAATAACCCATATTTCCACAATCCACCACAGAAGCCACACATGGCAGATGACCCAACAACACACACAGGCATGCACAGCCTCACTGCAGGCAAGCTCATCTTCATGAACAGACCAAAAGGTCTCCTCTTAAACCTACAAACTGCTAATATAATTCCTCTGCCTCAGCAATAGTCTATGAAACATGTTCTTAATAAGATTAATATATTTTCCATGCATTGCAAGGAAAAGCTTCATGGCATTGTAGTTGCATTCAGCATCTGGACAAGTTGCTTACAGACACTACTAAGTAAAAGAATAGCTCATTATTTGTGTGTAGGAAGAAAGGAGTCACACGGCTGAAAGAAAAGAAAGTGTTCCACCTGTATTCAGAGCAACAGGCAATACATTTGCAACCAAAACCCTGATCCAGCACATGCTCAATTCTTTGCACTGAAAAATGAATATATTACATTCCAGATTTGCAAAGGTTAAGCTTTAAGTAAGGGCAACATGGGCTTTATCTTTCATAACATTTTGATTAATCAGTTTTCCACAAACCACAATTGGTTAGAACAACAATACACAAAGCATTCCCGGATTAAAAGACATAAAAGATTAAACACAAACACACATAATTTTTCAGGGTCTGAGACTATGCAATGCAATGTACACTGTGTATTTTAAAAATACTTAATTAAGAAAATGGACTTTTTTATTTTTAATATTTTCAAGCAACAGCTATCAAGGATGAAAAGCAGTCCCCCATGCTGCAAACAGGCTGAATGCAGTAAAAGAAAGAAAAAAAATTTGTTTACTTGAAATTATGTCAGGAATAGAAGTTGTTTGGCTTTAAACTTCCTACTCTGCACTACTTCCTAGGTCAACACTAGAAAGAACAAAAAACCCCAGTAATGATAAACACTGTGAAGCACACATGAATGCACTGTTGTGACTGGTAAACAGTATTATTTGCTGCAATACAGAACAGCTAATAGCTTCTCTTTAGTTTAGTACAAAGAGATGTGCCTTTGTTTCAAC